AGTCTTTGGGTTCCAAGTTTTGCGTCGGGTTAGCTGGCATGCTGAGAGTCACAGAGAAAAACCAAAGCCCTTGTGTAGCCTGATAGCTCCCTATCGGCTATATAGTAGATCATGTTCAAGAAAGCAAATTAATTCATTAAAGTGACATATATTCAGTCAATTAGCTTCAGATCTCTGTTTCATATAGTGTCTCAGGAAGAGTGGCTGTTTTGTTATATCAGTAGAGCCATTTGAGAACTTCTGTTACTAATGTTCCAGGAGGTGTATTTAGGAGGTCTGCGTTTATTTTTTTTTAACAGAATAGCTAATCCCTTAGCCCAGCTTCTGCTGACAGTTTCTCCAGCAAAAAAAAATCTTAGTATTTTAAAGCACGTTTTACTACAGACCATATTTTAAAAAGACTGAACTTCACTTCTCTAAAATCGCTCCAAACTCTGAAGCTCTCTCTCCAGCAAATGGAACACAACAGAAAGAAATTAACCTAACAAGGCTGTCAGGAATCACTCAATCACTTTCTGACAAAACCCCACTGCTTCAAACACTGCTGAAATGATGTCGGTGGAGCTCTGAAGATTGCATTTAAAAACAATCAGTGCAGCACGAGCTCTTCCCCAGCACGCGTTTTACCAAGGAAACGAGATGGTGTGAGCAGAACGTATGGAAGGAAAGAACGAAATCATGGGCTGAAGCTCAGAAAAACCCTTCTCTAATGTGTTTAAACTGGTTTTGAAAGACTTCTGGATAATAGTTCACCTAGGTCCAGCACATCCTTGTGCCTGTGGATTTAATCTTCAAAGCAGGTCTTGACTGATACTACGCTGATGCAGAACTTGCTCTTAGACAAATACAACTTTGGAAATAACACTCGAATACAAAGCTTGCATCATTACAAGTCGTGGTGAGGTTAACACTTCCTCTCATTGCTTTGAGGATGCTAAAGAACATTCAATCTCTTTGGATGAACCATTACTTTGCAGTAGTCTGGATGGACAGCAGCCTTCCTTTCTTTGCTTGCCTCAACCATCTGTAAGGGCTTTTTTTTTTTCATTCAGTATGCACGTGCCACCATGTATGTGAGACTTCAACCGAGCCAGACGACTTGCAAATAATTGTGCAAGTGGGCATTTGTGCAAGTTTTCTACTTACAGCAGATTTGCCCAGTCCTTCCTCCTGATAGCAAACACTTCAGCTACTCAGACAAATGGTTCCACGTGAACTAAATGGCCAACTGCACCACTTAAAAATAAGTGGCAAACAGGGAATATTGAACGCAGTAGACACAATGGATTCAAAGCCATTCATATTCTGAAGTGTTTAATAAAATACTCTTTGAATAAATTTAAATTACAAGTACATTACTTGATTTCGTATCTAGATGTCATGGGGCCTGCAGAGCTCCCAGTTTGAGCAGTCCTATTAACTTCAGCATGATTGTTCATGAAGATAAGCAGTTTCAGTGGATAAAGCAGTGCTTTCACATCTTTTTTTTTTTCTTTTTTTTTTTTCTAAGCAAATACTTTAATAGCAGATCCTCCTGTGTGTAAGGCTGTGTGGGGCTTACATAGCAGAGCTGAGCATTTACCATGGGAATAGGGGCTGCTGGAAAATTATAGAGGTGAAATCCTTCAAGTCATCTTGGCCACAAAGGGATTATTCAGCCATGTGAAATGGGGCTGATTTGCTCCTATTATTATTATTCCCAGGCTGGGATGCAAACTTCAGGTAAGTCAAGACAGACACATGAGGACTTCATCAGAAGCTTCTCTCTCCAGTGAAGATTTGTCTTTATCTGTCAAAACTGAAGTTAACATACATTTGTCATGGTCCCAGGAAACCAAAAACCAGCTTTGCCAGAGAGCTCCTTGCTTATTTTACTGCAAAGCTTGATCGAATGGCACCTCATCCTGCTGTACCCATATTTGTACCAAGAACTATTGTAAACAGTTTCCTACTTACATAATTACCTTAGCTGTAAGTCTTCCATTCATGCAGAAATACTGCTATTGCTTAAAGACCACTCAATGAGCCTCTTACTTCCACCTCTGATAAACTAAAAGAACAGATTCGGGATTGTACAGGTGAGAATTGGACTGCTATATCATTGGTGGTGCTTCTTGAGTGACTAAGCTCCGTAGTAGTACCCACTATGAGTACAAAAACATGAAGGACAGCTGCAGCTCCAAACAAGGACAGCACGCTGGAGCCCTAAACTGCATCCCTTCAGTCACCATTATGATGATAATTTCTGGTAAAGTGTTATCCCAAAGAAGAAAAGCAGAAAACTGTTGAGGAACACACACTGGTTTGCTTGGAAGGCTCTTCTTTGTCCGTTCTGCTCTGTTAATTGTGTTTGAAATCCTACAGTTTGGGACCCCAAGCAGGTGACAGCTCACATACAGAGTGCAGATTGCTTTATGGATGGAGTTCAGAAACATTTTGGTGGAAAATTTCAACTGACCTGAAATTTACTCTGTATAACGCTTTATTCACATCGATAGCGATAGAAGAGGCTGGTCAAGATGCTTCCTGATTGTGCACATTTATGTCTGAAATACACCTTTTTTTTGAGATGAGCGAAACGGTGCTTAAGACCATTACAGTAAATTAAGTAGGGTTTTATAATTATTATCCCAAAACACAGAAAGATTGTCCTAAAAATAGCTTTGAGGACAGACCATTTAATCATATGTAAAAATCTATAACTGAAATGATTTTCTTGCTGTGTACCTCCTCGGAGCTGTAATTATTACATTGATTTTACTAAAAGACCCATCCACTCAGGATGAGTGACGTTCTGAAACAACCCGGGGGTGTTTTCTTCAATCTGCCTCCAGAAATGGTTAATTTATCTCATGAAACAAAGGAACCTTTCCATCTCGAAATCAAAGTCCCACAGCTCAGTCCAGAACATAAATATCTTCATGCATCTACGCATTGTTTCTTACAGAGAGAGATGATACAGAAAGTGTGAGAAAGAATGCAAAGAATGCAATCCCTGCTTCTCATATTTGTGAGCAGATGATTTCTCTTCTTTTTTTTTTATAAGATTATTCATTCTGAGCACATATTTGACAACTTTGTCATTTGATTAAGAGCGCTTGAATTTCGGAGAAGAAAAAAACCAAAACACTCAATTGCTGTTGGGTGCAGGGGTCACATGAAGCACTTTTGTCACCTGAGGGTTTAAGTTCCACAGCTGCTCAGTGTGATCTTTCCACAAATTCTCTTGCAAACAGAATGTGCTCAGCAGGTAAAGGCATTGCCTGGCGCAGGCAGGGAGCGCGGGGCTCAGAGCATCGCATTGTGTGCAGCACAGCCCCTGCCTCACAACCTCACCGACTTCTTATTTTACAGAGTTCTGACTTAACCCTAGTGGAAATCCAGGCAAAAATCCCACTGCCTTCAGCCAAAGCTGCACTTTGTTCCAATGAATGAGATTCCTGGAGGACCACGCTGAAACCGTGACTTTAGTAAACTCAGGTATCTCCTGCAGAAGACAGGCCCAGCCCAGCAAAGCACGATTCCAATCTGCTTATTTGCCTTGACAGAGCCTGGGGCACACCAACAACTCAGCAAAGACCACCAGTTTTGGGGCAGGTGGAGGGTGTTCAGCATTGCCCAGGCGAACACAGATGTGCTCAGAGGCAAACCCACATCTCCCAGGTGTCAGAAAAGCCCATGCTAAGAGTTACATTTCTTTACGAGTTGCAAAGCCAAGCTTTACTGTCACCAGTAAAACTTCACATTTCTGTAACTCTTTCTCCTTTCTATGGTCTAAAAATATTTATGCATCCTACAGCCATTTTACATTATCCTGAGGCAGTAAATGTGATAGTTGAAGTGAAAAATGTTCGTTACGCCGTAGCCGCGGATGGTTAGAACAAGGAGATTACAAGAGACGTGGCAATGAGGTGTTCCTGCAGTTCCACAGCTTTTTTCTAAGGAAAAACCTCAGAATACAGCTGGGCTGGCTGGGCTGAGCCATCTGCCACTTAGAATAAAGCAGGATCCCAGGTCTGTAAAGTTCACATGTGCTAAGTTGCGCTGATTGAATGAGGTGCACCGAGATTGATATGCCAAGTGCATTATGGTGGCAAGAAAGACCCAGGCATCCTCCACCCCCATGAGCCCCAAAGCAGCCCTGTGAATGCCTGCAGCATGTGCTGCCTTCATCCAGCACAGCTGGGCTGGGGCTGGTGGTGGTCTGCTGCCCACATCCAGTGCTGTGGATGCTCCTATGTCCCACAGTCACAGCTCTGCATGCTCACTCGGCAGATGTTGGCTCACATCTGGGCTTTGCTATCAGCTATGCCGATTCTTCCACACACCCGTGTGCTTCTTTGTCCCAGCAGTTACCCGCAGTATCTTCTCTACAACTCCCTTTTCAGGGATGGAGCCACGTGTTTGGGCTCTGTGGGGAGTGGGGTGTGCCTCTGCCCAATGCAGCCATACGCCACAAATCCTTCTATTTGTTAACGTTGTTCTTTGCCTGACCCTTAGTCTGGACTAAGTCATCCCAAACCCGTGCTGAAGCACTAAAAGAGCAGCAACATCCTATAGTGGGTTCCCAGTGCCTCTGAGGGTATGCAGGAGGAACTTGGGTTCCCACTGTCCTACCAAAGAGCTGCAGCCGAACCTTCAGACCCCCGAGGCCAGCACCTGGCCAGTCCCCAGCCTTGCAGCCTGTAGAGCTCAGAAGCCCCCAAAGCCCCCAAACTACATGCAGCCCCCCTAGATCCCTGCAACCTATGGGTACGGGATGCCAAGGGGGGGGGGCTGCCCCAAAGACACAGCTCCCCCGGGCCGAGCTCCGCATCCCGCCGCCCGTTCCCATGGCAATCTCGGAGATGCCGGTTGCCACGGTAACGCCATCCTCCTCCTCGGCCGTGTCCGAGACAGCGGCGCGGCTCCGGCGGAGCTCTGCCCGTGGGCTCCGGGCACAGCCGCTGCCCCCGGGAAGTTGCTTCCCCCCCCCCGGTCACGGCGCGGCCCCCCGTTACCTTCGAGACAGCAGATCCTCCAGAGCCCCGAATGCGTAAGGTCGCCCCTCGCTTTCCTCGGCGGTCCCTGCGCTTCGTCCGCCGTGATGTTGGTGCCGTTGCAGATGTGCGCGCTGGAGTACAGCCAGTAGTCGGTACCGATGGCGATGGCCATGAGGCTGAAAGCGGCGAAAGCTCCCACCGTGGTCAGCAGCATCTGGACGCCACGGTCACACCACACCATGGTGCTTCATAGTCCCCGCACGGGGCCGCACGACACCGCCCGGCAGCCGCCGCCGCCCGCGGGAGGCAGAGCCGAGTCACGGGGCGGGGGGCGGAGGCGGCGGCGATGGGGATGGGGATGGGGATGAGGATGGGGGGAGCCGCCCTCCCTCCGCCACGGGGCTGAGCTCCGCCGCACGGCCGCGCACCGCCCCGCCCCGCCCCGGGGAGGGTAGGAGCCGCCCGCCCGGTGGCGGCGGGGGGTGGGAGGCTGCAGCCCCTCCCAGGGCCGGAGCATCGCGCGGGGATGGTGCGGGGGGAGTGCGACAACACGGCTGAAGTCGCAGCTCCGCGGGGGTCAGAGCAGCCTTTGGGGAGGGGGGGATCCGAGGCTCAGCGAACGGCAGAGCCCGAGGAGCGCGGCTCCGAGCCCCCAGTCCCGGCACTCCCCCTGCACACCGCCCCGGGATGCGAGCGGGAGAGGGGTACGCAGCCCTCGGGGTACCATGCGGTCGGGAGCTGCAGGGTAGCCAAATAGGTTTCCTCCCTCAGCCTCGCTGTGCTCTTAGTGACACAAGGGGGGTGTAGGCAAGTGGGTGGCTCGCTGATTGTTTCCTACTCGGAAAAAAAAAAATTAAAAAAAATATATTTATAAAACAAAACTAGAGCCTGAAAATATTTCCTTTTGGAAAACCATGTGGAGAAACATCTAAATTTGTCACGGCGTTGCCCCTCCTTGCAGCCCTGACTCCCATCACTGCGCTGACAAGTCGGTTCTGCCCCCACCCATCCAGCGGCAAGGCAGATGAATGGGAGCCTTCTGATCAGCTAATGCATGTGTGTGAAGGGAGTGTGGCAGCACACAGAGTGATGTATGTGAATCAGGGAGTGGGAGGACGAGAGCTACAAACCTCGAGAAATGCAGCTCTCTTCCGAGCAGTGCGTGGATGGTGCAGGTGCATGCATGGCTCTGCTGCGGCGATGCTTTTCAGCTGCTCTTCCTTTTCATGAAAGCTGGGAAAGCAGAAAGCAAACACAAATTAAAGGCTGGTTTTTATTTTGCAGAGCCTTGGAAACTTGATCAGACACAAAGCCTATAAATGCGGAAGAGCTCCGAAGTTATGTTAGGTTTAAGCATATAAATTAGGCTTTACTTTCCCATTGTGCTTATAGGTCCAATAGTGCCATTGCAAAATCACCCTCTGAATTGATGTGTCCATTAGGGATGGAAGAATGAAGGCAGGTAAGCTGAAAAGCAGCGTTCAGAAAAACTGAATCAAGCATTTAAATTTAATGAGGTTCAACAAATTTCTCATTTAAAATATATGTTTGTACATGTGTGCTTTGGGGCTTTGGCCGGGAAGGGAAAATTAGATACTGAAACAGCAGGAGAGAAGCCATTTCAACAGCTTTTTAAACCTACTGAGCCTTAATTAATATTATTTATTTGTATTGCCCACGGCTGGCTCTCCCAGCGAGGAGCAGAGGAGGGCTGGGTGAGCTGTAGCCATGGCCACAGTGCTGTTCAAGGCAGAAATAGCCCCAGTCTCCCACTCAGAAGTGCAACAGGAGCAGGATGGGGCATCTGGTCCGGTGGGCTCTGAGCATCCTCAACCAGCAGATAGGGGGATGCAGCTGCAGGGCTTTCCACCGCATAAAGCCCTATTGGTTGTGTGAGATAACAGCACGTCAACAAAACTCCTTAACTAAATCTTGCTCCTCTCCCCGCCAGCATTGCTTTGCCAAGAAAACTGCTGCTCCTATTGCCTTGTGAGAAACCTCAGGCTCCTAAAGGGTTACAGAGAAGCACCCAAGACAGGCAATCATTTTCTGCCCAAGCTATCTTCTTTAGTTTAAAAATGTTCTCTATTCTTTTGAAATGCATGAAGTAGATTGTGGGAGAGCTAATATTATATTCCACTACTGAAAGCTGGTGGAGTATTTTGCATTGATGTCTGGCTCTAGTGATTTTCTAAGGATTTTGAATTCATTAAATCCCACCATTGAATAATCACCAATCGTGGCAGAAGGAAGGCAAAAGTGCTTATGGTCCTCAGCAGCAAAAAAGCATGTGTTCTTTTCTTAAATCCGAAAGCTATTTGACCCTCCGTGTGTAGTAAAGGTTGCCCATCACAAAACCTTTAATTCGCAGCCTTTGCTTATGGCACAGCCTTATAGTGATGCCATTGAGTTTCGCAGGAGAACAGCCTCGGCAGGGTGTTGTGCACTGCAATGGCATCCTCCATCCTCAATGAGAATTAAACCCAATTGTTCTAGGCTCAGAACAGATGCAGGAGCTCATGACAAGGAGAAGTAAAAGCCCCATGTCTTCTCCCTGTAATTTAGCTCCCCTCACCCCTACTGATTTTACAGTGTGTCCAAGCCCAGAAATGTATTTTTTTCACAGGAAAAAAAATAAACTGAAAGCAGAAATATTTGGATTCCTTGATGCTGATGTTCAAAGCTTTAAATGAAGTCCTGTGCCTGATCATTTTACTTCTGAACTGAAAAACAGTTATTTCGGAGATGAAACTTTGTACTGAACTGAATTCAGTGAGAGCTGTCACTAACAAAGCCTTGCCTGAGAGACAGTGCTGTGATCAGAAGGAGAGAAAGAACCGAGCTGTGTTACCATTTGGGATGACTGCTTCTGCTGCTAAATGTCAGGCATTGCCTTCAATACACCAGGCTCTCTTTTTTTTAAATGTATCATCTAGCAAAGGTAACACCAGAATTACTAGAATTTCACTAAAAGAAACCTTTGGAAATGGCTCAAGAAAATCTCCAGGGAGAACTTTCTCAGAATGAAAATGATTAAACAGAGCTTTTGATGTAAATACAGACTAACGGCCACCAAAGCCTGGAACACATATCTCGTTCCACTTGTCCTTCAAGGGGACTTTTAGGCCTATGCATGTAAGAATGACTTTTAGCATCTAGCAATATTCTATAGCTATGAGCACATCAGTGACATTGGTTGTTGCCATCTCCTACAGGTCTTTGTATCTCTTCTGTCTAACCTCATACTGGTATTACGAATAAATCATCCTGAAGCATTTCATTTGGATTATGCTGCACACAAAGAACTGAAGAAATGGGATTTGCTTCAGCAGAGCTTTATGGACACGAAGATCTCCACTCCAGCAAAGAACCTTGCAGGAGCTTGGGATGTGGCAGGAGGTATCAGTTGTGGCACAGGTATATTTAAAAAAGAAATATTTAAGTTGCTGATGGAGCTATATTTTTGTATGCTTTGGTTCAGATGTTTCAGGTTAACATGATCTCCACTGAGTCACACTGGGAGACTACTCTCAGAGCTACTTCCAAATAACACTGAAATCATTGAGAAGGTTTGTGGCAAAGCAAGTGCTGAATTCACTTCTGAGGCACTGTATGTATGTAAGCTATTGGCCTGCCTATTCCTTGTGTTGCTCTTAACTGCGTGTCTCAAGCAGGTGGTGTCTTTCATCTTGGAGGACCATACTCTGCTTCCACAGCATGGAAAGACTGACAGAAGTCACCATCACATTTCATGGAGCTGAGTCTAGAGAAAGGTGAACTTGAATTTTGTTTGAGAAGGCTGAATTTCTTCTTTAGCCCTATGAAGGATCGTCTTAAGTCAGCATCAGTAGTTCCAGCCTCCTCCAGAGCTGCAGAAATGGTCATCTTAAGGGTAAAATATTGTCGCTCGCTTGCCACTTGAGAGGCAACATCTTGGCTGTGCTTCTATCATTCCTTTTAATATATTAAACATTCCTTGGCTTAGTCATGGGAAGTGAAGCAACACAATTGCTTTCTAATAAATAAAATGTGCTCAGAAACCACTCTGTAGCTTTTCAGATAACTGCAATTTGAGTTTGCCAGGAAGCCAGATGCTGCTATTGGAAAAGTAGCTGCCATGGTTTGTCATCCGAGCTTAGGAATTGATATCCAAGAATGATATGATGAGACAGACTCGATGACAGCACTGCTCTTTCTATAAATAATTTGAAGAAAACATTTTTTCATTTTGAAAAATGAAAAGACTTTTTCTACAGACTTGTACAGTAAACCAGAAAATTAAAAAGGATGGGCATGCTGTGTTTGAATGGGGCCATCAAAAGAACAAAATATGTGCAATTTATGCAAAATGTATAGCAGCTCTCACACATTTCACGCTACCTAAGCTATATTTTTCCCATAATACCAATAGTCACGAAACTCATTATCTTTCTGACAATAGAGAAATGGAATATCAGCCTTTTACTTTCTTGACCATGTCAAATGTCAGGGCAATTTTTGAATGCTCGTCCTTCAAATGCTCATCCCTCCTGCTAAGATAAAATATCAATCGCGCTCACATTCAGCTATAGAGTGAACTAATATTGCACACACCTCTCAGATCTAAAGTTCACTGTGTCCATTACCTGTGATGTGATTTTGTCTCCCAAATCCTACCTCTTGTCCATGTCTTAATGGCTGAAAAATACACTGCAGTGTTAGAAGCTGTGTTTAGGTTTATCTGGAGCATGAGGTGAAACGACTGGTGGGGGTTTCTCATAAAGTGTTAAGAAGAGTTACAAAGGGAGTGGGAGAAAGAACAAGGGGTTAATGGGGCAAGAGCCTTCATTTTGCCATCCATTTCGGAGGACTTGGAGACAGCATGCCAATGGGATGCTGCTGGGAATTTCTAGCACAACAGTTCTGCTTGAAGCACAAGGGAAGATCTCACTATCTTTTCGATGATGGAGAAACAAATGTGCTTATCCAGGCAAGGCGCTGCACTCATCCTCAGGGTGGTGTCCACTGGGAATACAAGTGCAGGGTCATTTCTCCTTGGGAATACATGAGGAGCACGGGCCAATGTGGAAGGAAAAAACAAATAATTGTGGTGAGGTTCTCTCAGCCCATCCATAATCAGTTCCAAGGAATAACGATGTACCTGTGCATGCCCCAACAACAGGCTATTTGTACCGTACAAAACCATGCAAGCTGTTATTCCACACAAGCTTACATGACTTCAGACAGCCTAAAAGAAGGAAC